ATGCAAGTCATCAACTTTGAACGCAGTTTCAGTACCACATACGCTCATGGTGAAGGGTTCACCAATTGCACGGCACGAATGAAAGAGAATATCACCTCTTTGTTTGTGCAGCTGATGAGTCTCTGAAAGACTTGGAGCACACAATATATATATATATATATATTGCATGTTGAGGAACTTGGGAAAAAAAAAAAAAGATCAAAATCAGGGTGTTTTAGGAGGCAGTGGAGCTTCTGAGTATGTCTATATGTGATCTTGTTGATGAAACAAAACAGAGGTTTTATGATACGTGAAAAACAGGGGAGGAGGTTTTGTTTCTGTATCAATTTGTTTTATATTGTTTTGATTGGTACGTGACTTATTAAATCAATCGTGTGGAGGAATTAGATGATAATACAAAATGGAAAAAAAAATTACATATTTGTTGGTGAAAGAATAAACATTGCATGATTTTATCCAAAGTAAGAAAAAAAATCATAATCAATAAGAATCTGTGTCGTATAATCAGAAACAGAAACGGAACTCTACTAGGTTCTTGTTCTGTAGCATCTGTACCACAAGATGAAGAATCCAAGAACTCTGTAGGAGACAATGAAGCTGAACATGACACCGAGATTGCTCCATTTCCGGGACTCTGTAAGGTCTTGCTGTCTCATCAAGAACAGATCTCCTCTGTACTCATTTATCATCAGACACTCGAAGGGGTACTTGAACAAGCTCAGGTAATGCATGAACTGCCAGTAACTCGGGATCTTGTCCTTAGCGATGAAATATCCAGAGAACATGAAGAAAGATCCCATGAGGCCCGATATAACCGATGTCCCCATTATGAAGTTCGGGACTAGGGCGCTGAAACACGCCACGAATGAGTTCGACATGAGAAGAACCATCCACATCACCAGCCAGAAGTAGAGAAATCCGTCAACCTCTCGTCTCAGACCGACCAGCCAGTAAACGGGCGTGGAGAAGAGACAGCTGATGATCAGGAGAAAGGGAATGAAGATGAGGGTATCGGCCAGAACGTACGACAAGACACTGTAAGCTCTTCTTGATGTCTCTCTCATGAGGATTCTTCGGTCCTGCAAGAAAATCGGGAGTCCTTCCGTCGTGGAAGACAGCAGGAAAGTGAGAGTAAACGCGAAGAACCCGGTTCTTGTCTGCAGTGAAACTTTCCGTTCTCGGTTTTTGTTGCCCACGTTCAAGTATATCGTCCCGAGAATCAGTCCGGCTATGGAGGCTTGTAAAGCTCTGGTTGCAAACAGTTGCTTTGTCCTGAAGATGTTCTTGCAAGATCTTTGCCCTAGTATCAGTACTTCTTCCAGTATCAAGTTGTTGTTTCCGGATACAGATTGTTCTGTGTCTGCGTTATTACAGCAACTCTTCCACTTTTCTCTGACAGCATCACAGCGCAAAACCTCCCTGCAGTTACGGGTTTCAACCGGCTCGAGACTTTCCGCAATGTCAATCGCGTATTCAAGAACGTTCACACGGCGAGGAATAAGGTGACCGGTGAACTTGATCCTATGGTAAAGCAAACTAACGGATCCGTTGTGAACTACCGACCCGTTTGAGAGCAAAACTACTCGATTAATCTGCTCGAGAATCCGAAACCCGGGCTGGTGGATGGTGAGAACAATGGTTTTACCTTGTTTAACCGCCATATCTTTGAGAAGCATAACAACGTGAAGGGCAGATGCCGAATCTAGACCAGAAGTTGGCTCATCAATCAGTATAATATCAGGGTCATGAACAAGCTCAACTCCAATGGAAACCCTTCTTCTCTCTCCCCCGGAAATCCCAGATCTCGAACCATCACCGATTCTTGAATCCTTTACTTGTTCCAATCCAAGTTCTTGAATCAACCTGTTCACCCTCGTCCCGGCCTCTTTTCTCCTAGCCTTCAGCCTGAAGAGCGCGTTGTACGTGAGCGTTTCTTGCACCGTAAGTAACGGAAACAGGGCGTCTTCTTGAGGCACAAACCCGGAAACTCTCCTGAACCCCGGAGAATCCACGGGGCAGCCGTTGACGAGGACTTGTCCGGAAACTCCTCCCGGAGAAACTTTTCCGGCGAGAATCTCCAGCAACGTAGTCTTCCCGGCGCCACTTGGGCCTGCAATTGCAGTGATCTCCCCAGGCCTTGCCTCACAAGAAACGCTCCTCAATACGATCTTCTCTTCCCTTTCCTTGAACAAACCACAAAAATCATCTAATATGAAGCTTCTACACAATCTATACGTAAGGTTCTTGGTCTCTAATCTGTATGAAATTTTCCGGCGATCGGGAACCGGAGCTTTCACCGGAAGTTCCATCGGAGGAGAAGAGAGAGAGAGAGAGAGAAGGAAGAAAGAATCAAACTCTAAGACAGAGAATGTAAAACAAGTAAAGCAAAAACTGTGAGATAAGTGACGAAGAAGAAAGGGAGAGAAGATGAGCTAACGCACCAACCTCCAAGGAAACCTTTAATTAATAATATATACAAATGGAGTCCTTAAATTCAATTTCAAAAGCTAAGACTTAAAGCTTCTCCCTTGGCTTCCATGGACTAGAAGCCATTAGACATTATTTATGTTTTCCATATACAACCTAAGATAAGATGCAAGAAAAAAAAAATGATAACATAAATGTGGATTTTTTAATTATATTGGGTTGATGGGGTTTGGGAAGAGGTGCAAGAAACGACCAAGAATTGCCGAACAGGGTTTGCTTTTCTTCACAAGGATCTCATTTTCAGGTGAGCTGAAAAAGCTTTTGACTGTGAAAGGGGTTATTGTCTTGTTGGTTGTCTTATTTGCAGCTAACTCAATGTCTGTTTTTCATCTACTCTAATTTTGAAACCTCTGACTAAGCGAGAGGGTTCCCTTTCGTCCAAATTCATTTTGGTATAGGCAAAGAATACGAGGGTGGTATTGTATTTTTTCCTTTTCTTTTAGATCAAATTGCAATTTGTCCAAAATCTACTCAAGGTCATATCACAATTTGATTTTTCAATATATATATTATATATATACACACATGGTTTTTTTAGGAAATTTCCAAACATGATGACTTTGATTAAGATTAATCATTACATAACCACTAGTTTTCATATAAAAAAAATTAAAATTAAATCTAAGTATATAATAATGTTGAATAATTTGAATATATGATAATATTGAATTAGATATAGGTAGTAATGATACAATAGAAATATATATATATATATATATATATATATGAGATTATTTCTATTATATATATCTATATATTAGTTTGATCTCTATAACAAAAAATAATTTCACTGTACGTTCCTTTTTTCGGATAAACCTCAGGTGTGTTTATCAATTTCCAAAACATGTTTTCACAAAATAATTAATAATTAAGAAAAAATGAATTTGTACATTATCAATTTCTCGGCCCAACAGCCCAACACAAAATACGACGGCCTATATAATATCAGCTTCCCTCGGTTTTTCCATCGTTTCTTTTCCTGAAAATTTATTTTCTTGTGACCCCTCCTAACTCGAGTCTCCCTCTCCCCCACTCGATTAGGGTTAGGGTTTTTGAGAATCTGCGAATCATGGATCTAACGAAGAAGCGAAAGCTCGACGAGAATGGCGGCGGATTGTTCCCTGATGGCGTCCCTGGTCCAATTAGATTAACGCCTCAGGACGCTCGGAAGATCATCGAGCGGTTTTCCACTGAACAGATGCTCGACATCTTGCAGCAAGCTGCCGTTTGCCATCCAGATGTTCTCGAAGCCGTTCGCTCGACCGCCGACTCTGACATCGCTCAGCGGAAGCTGTTCATCCGTGGCCTCGCGGCGGAGACCACGACCGAGGGTCTTCGGTCGCTTTTCTCTACTTACGGTGATCTTGAAGAGGCTATTGTGATTCTGGATAAGGTAACGGGGAAATCCAAAGGGTATGGTTTCGTCACTTTTCGGCATGTCGATGGAGCCTTGCTCGCGCTGAAGGAGCCATCCAAAAAGATAGATGGTCGTGTGACAGTCACGCAGCTTGCGGCTGCTGGGAATCAAGGTACGACAACTAACGTTTCTGACATTTCGATGAGGAAGATCTATGTTGCAAACGTGCCGTTTGACATGCCGGCCGATAGGCTTTTGAATCACTTCCTGGCTTATGGGGATATTGAAGAGGGTCCATTGGGCTTCGATAAATTGACTGGTAAATCAAGGGGCTTTGCTTTGTTTGTCTACAAGACATCCGAAGGGGCACGAGCGGCACTTGCTGATCCGGTGAAGGTAATTGACGGGAAGAATTTGCACTGTAAATTGGCTATAGATGGTAAGAAAGGGAAGCCCGGGATGCCACCGGCTCAGGATGGTGTTGTTCAGGGAGGTTCCGGGCCTGGGCATGTTCACGGTGATGGAATGGGGATGGTTCCTCCTCCCGGACCATATGGTGCTGGTGGCCGACCTGGTGGTCCTGGTGGAATGGGTCCTTACGGTGGATACTCGGGACCGCCGCCACCGCTTCACATGAATTCTGCTCCGTCCTCCATGGGTGTTGGTGCTGCTGGGGCTGGTGGATATGGAGGGACTGGGTACGGTGGACATTATGATGGGTATGGTGGTCCAGGTTTGGGGGGTTATGGTGGTGCTGGTGCTGGATCAATGGGTGGTGCTGGCGGTGGATATGGTGGATCTGGTGCCGGTGGTGGGCCGTACAGAATGCCACCGAGTTCAATGCCTGCTGGTGGTTACCCCGAATCTGGACATTATGGGTCATCAACCGCATTTCCTGGTCAGCATCATCAGCCTGTTGGGACCTCCCCGGTGCCTAGAGTTCCTCTCGGTGGGATGTACCCCAATGTCCCACCAAATTACTGAATGGCAAGGTTGTTATCCCTTATATCCTATTCATCATTTTACTCTATCAGGCTGGTATTAGGTTTTTGCATGAGTGTGCCTTCTGCATTTACATGCTTTCTTATTACTTTTTGGCAGACTTTTTTTTATAGTTGGCGTCGTAGAGATGGTTTGTCTTGTCCGTTTGGTAGAAATGTTGCAGCTGGTCTTCCCCGTGTTATATGAAACGTTTCCTTTGATTCTTTATGTTGTTTGGGCGTAATAGTGCCCCAACTTAATGTCCCAATGGACAACAAGGAAAGTGGTCTTTCTATAGCGGACTCTTTTCTGGTGGATATTGGCTATAGTGGAATAGAGTATTTTAAGCTGTTGGCACTATCTCATGCATTTTTTTTCTGTGTATCTGCTTTGGCTGTCAGTTGAAGTGCTCTACTTATTTTCTTGTCTGCGGCACTAGCATACAGTTGTTGATTCTTCTTCTGTCTCTTCACAAGTTTTTAATCGATGTTATGCTTATTTGTGTCAACAATAGCCATTTGCTTTAGGCAGTGCACCGAGAAAGTTTTTTGCGTTTGATGAATTGATTTCCTCTTAATGCTAATGACCAAATTGAGTTTGTGAATTGGGTGTTTGATTCAGGTTCGTGACAGCATGTTGGGGGAAGATGCTTGTTGTGCTTAATGGTGATTGCCTGATTGCAGCCACTTAGTCTCTGGATTGATGAATGTGTTCAATGTGCTTTGACCTCTCTGCACTTGATCTGAATGTGCTTTTGGATTCTGAGTGCCTGGTTGCTAAATGACTGACTAGAGTAGTATATCTTGATGTACTCTTTTTTTTTTTAAATCTCAGAGATACTAGCAGCAGATGGATTTTTGTTTGTTGATTTGTGAGTTTTTTAATAATCTCTTGTACTCCGCCCCCGGTGTTTTTCTGGCTTAGTTTCCAACTTTTCTACTTGTGGCTGACTGTGTAGTTGTCTTCTGCATCTTCTACACCAGTGCTAAGCTGGTTTTGATGTTTGAGGAGTGCTTTTACCGTCAACAGAATGTTTATATGCTTTCGGTGACATAAATGGCAGTAGGTATAACCTTTGCTATGTGATCATCTGATTGGTGGTGTACGAATAACGGGTGTTTGCTGTATGGGGTTCTTGCGGGGTTGCTTAGGCTGTTGTGATCACAGCGAGCTAGTTTTGTATTGGAGAATCTATGAAGCAGATTCGATTTTAAAGAATGTGCACTTGGTGTAAGATCTGCTTGAGTTTTTTTTTTTTATGTGGGTAGGAACGAGCCATTGTTGCCCATTATTGTTGTTGTTTGATACAACTTGGTAGCTGGCGTTACACTGCTGAGTAACATGATGAAACTTCAATTCATGTTGAAGATGATGTGGCTTTTGGAGATTCCGTGGCATTCAGAAATTTGCATACTCGTGATGGGAAAAAGATTCTAATGGGTGATGATGATGATGATTGGTAGGAACTTGGTTCATATTCGTGGTTGTTAGAAGATAGCATAGATGCTTGCTCTGGCTTGATAATTGTGAGCCACACGCCGGAAGGAATCGTCCATAGTCATTTGCTAACGCTAACTCTTGATGCCTCGTTTTTGTTTTCTTCTGTGTCGGGGCAAAATACCGATGCTCTTTCGCAACAACACGGTGGGAGCGGGCCATCCAATGGACGGAAAATGCCCCCTGAGATGACAGTGGGAGTCGGGTGGGTGGTGACCGACCGACCGACCAGGACTAGAGTGACGATGGTGAACCCTCCACTCTTGTAATATTAGAACCTATGTTTTGGAATCCGATACGTTATCTAAACATAGAGTGAGTGTATCGTTACGACTACAGGATCTCTCTCAGGTTGCGGTTTATCGGAGCTATATTCAATTATTTGTTTTTTTTTTTGTATTTTAAAAAAACAAACTGTGTTTAACGTTCCATCGTAGGAGTAAGTATAGTCGTTGACCGAATTTTCAGATATAGTCGTTGACCGAATTATCTCTTAATTTATTATCGTAATTAGTTTCTAATTCAAATTTATCCATCCATTAGAAATGTAAAAAGGCTGTGTTTTTTAGATGCTCCTTTCTTTATTATATGATTATACATATATAATAAGATTGTAAAGTGTATAATAAAAAAAACCTCAAAGTGGAGTCCCTCATCACTCTCAAGTCTCAGCACAACCTTCACCACATATAAAAAGAAGGGCCCGCCTCTCTCTCTGCGCTCTCTCCAAGACTCGGTCTCTCTCTCTCTCTGCTCGATCCCGACGAAAATGTTCAGATCCATGCTCGTCCGGTCATCTTCCTCGGCGAAGCAGGCGCTTCTCCGCCGTGGGATCTCCTCGGAGTCTGTCCCGGAGCGTAAGGTCGCCATCCTCGGTGCCGCCGGTGGGATCGGTCAGCCCCTCGCCCTCCTCATGAAGCTTAACCCTCTCGTCTCTAGCCTCTCCCTCTACGATATCGCCAACACGCCCGGCGTCGCCGCCGATGTCAGCCACATCAACACCAGATCTCAGGTATCCCTTTTCGCCTTATCCTCTTCCCCTCGAATATTTTGGATTTCTCCGTAGGGATCTAATTTTCCGTTTGATTCGCTTGTTTTATCCGCCGGATTCGGTGTCATTTCTTGTATTTGTGTGAATCTCTGGTTTTATATTTTTTTTAGCCATTGGAGATTCCTTGCGTAATGTGTGCATCATGATTAGTGTTCGCTCTTGCTGATCAATATACATTTCGATCCATTTTCTGGAGGAAATGCCCTTGTGTATTTTTTTTCTTTTACATGTTTTTTTTTGTCTATTGGTACAATTATTCATGTGGGTTTTGCTTCGTATGGATAGGTTGTGGGATACATGGGCGATGATAACTTGGGAAAAGCTCTTGAAGGAGCTGACCTCGTCGTCATTCCAGCTGGTGTGCCCAGAAAGCCTGGCATGACCCGTGACGATCTTTTCAACATCAATGCTGGAATCGTCAAGAGCCTCTGCACCGCCATCGCTAAGTACTGCCCACAGGTGACAGTTGTTGTTCAATCATGGTGTTGATCTTTTTGTGAAGAGAATGTATAATCATGTACCTGTTCGGATTCACGGTTTCATTTTGTGAAATTATGGTGGTAAAGTCACTGTCTTTTCCGTCTGTGGAATGTTGTTAGAGAATAAACTAACCATGTATGTATCAAGAGCTTATCTTTCCCTTGCTAAACATCTGCTTAGTTAGGCGTTTTTTTTTTGTTTTCCTATCTGTAGTTTTGGTGTTCTTTCAAACAGCTGACTGAAGATTGGAAATTCCCGTTTTCTGAATCAGGCGCTCGTCAACATGATCAGCAACCCTGTGAACTCTACTGTTCCAATTGCGGCAGAGGTTTTCAAGAAGGCTGGCACTTACGATGAAAAGAAATTGTTTGGTGTAACCACTCTTGATGTTGTTAGGGCCAAGACCTTCTATGCTGGAAAGGCAAAGGTCCCTGTTGCAGGTTTGTCTCGTTGCCTTTCTGCCCTTTGGTAGTAATTGGTTATGTGATATATATGTCATGTTCTTGTTTTTTCAATGCTTTGAATTCTGACTCAAGTTCTCGCCACTGCAGAGGTCAATGTTCCTGTTGTTGGTGGTCATGCAGGCGTTACCATTCTCCCTCTGTTTTCTCAGGTTAGTTCTTTCCTC